ACAAATGCTTTCACCAACAAGAAGTATGCTACCTTTACTTGATGGTTGAAGAAGTCTTGAAGCTGCAAGTATGAATTATTGTGCAAATTGAAGCAATTGCAACTAAAATATTATGGATTCCAATGTTTGATATGTAGAGAATTGGCAAGGGGTCCTTTTTATAGAGTAAAAAAAGGAGAATCCTAGTTAATTAAGGAATGTTATCCTAGTTAATTAAGGAATGCAATACCAATTGCGATATACTTCTTTTAAAATTATAATTCTATTGCAATATACTTCTTCAAATAGTTTTATTGCAATATACATCTTCTAAAGTTATAATTTTCTTACCTATGAGTAAGCATAATTCAAACTTAACTTGGATTGCAATTATACCCAAGTCATGTTAGGATTTTAAGAAATCCTAGAGATTTTAAAATTTCAAGACTTGTCCACTTGCCACATTCAAAATCATGTGTGAACAAGTCTTGAAGGGGCATTTGTAGAAGAAAAAAATTATCAGCCAATTACGTGCCGCCATGTGGATTTAATAATATTTTAACTATATAATTAATTATAACATAATTAATTTATTGGTTAGATTATTTTTAAAGACATATAGTTCAACCAATTCACCTATTGGTATATATTTATCTCTCAAAATAATTTAAAGATAATATTTATATCTGGACCAATCAAATATTAGCTATTGGTCATCCAATTAATCTCTAAACAAATCAAAATAATTTAGAGATAATATTTATATTTTGACCAATCAAATATTAGCTATTGGTCATCCAATTTATCTCTAAATAAATCAAAATAATTTGGAGATAATCTTCATATTTTCGACCAATTAAAATTTAATTATTGGTCATTTAAATTATCTCTAATAATTATATTAATTTAGAGATAAAAATATAATTAGATTATTTAATTTATCTCTAAATAAATTGGAGATAATAACTAATTTCGACCAATCAAAATTCAAGGACTTAAAGTCCGACCAATCAAAAGACTTTCAATGAATCATCATAATTTATCTCTAAATAAATTAAAATAATTTAGAGATAATTCAAAGAGATTTCATTTTCATCAAAGTCTCCCACTTAACATTATAAATAGGAGGCTCCTCCAAGCCATTTTGATTCATTCGGAAGCATTTGAAGATTGAGAAGTATTCGAAGATTGAGAGCATTTCAAAGATCAAGAAGAATATAAGATTTTTGGGGTGAAGATCAAGCAACGGCGAAGTTCGTGATCAAGCGACGGCGAAGTTTGTGATCAAGACAAAGTCCAAGTTCGTGACTCTTAAAAACGAAGTGAAGAATTTAATCAGAAGAATTTTCAGAGATTATCACTCACATCATCAAATATTTGTATTTGTCTCATAATTTTCAAGTCAAGAAATTTTGACGAGAAATTTGTATGTACAGTAATATTAATTGGAATAGACACATCATTTTCTTGGTATACTTCTTAATTCAAATCAATTTCATTTTCTCCATCTTCACTACTAGAAAGGTAGAATCCACTCCTAGCTTTTGTTTTAATTATTGCCCACCAATCTCTTTTGGTTGATGGATAACTACTATAATTGTTTATTTATGTTTGTAATTTTTATTTATGCATTGTCTATTTACTCAATAAATCGATTTCATGGTTATTGAAACAATTTTGTGTTTACTTCATATATCCATTAATATAAATATATATAATTTTTATGTATGTATGTATGTATTTATTTATAATATTGTAGCTATTTATCATTTATTTAATTATTTTTCTATTTTATTACATTAAAGAAAAAAATAAGAGAGTACCTTTGTCTGAAAAAAAAGAAAACAGAATAGAGAATGGAAATAAAACTATTGTGCTGGCGCATATATTTCCCTGCACTGTATCAAAATAATGATTAAAGCTGTTGCCCATGGTGCGCTGGGAGTTCCAACCGCAACGGCAGTGCGGTTAAAATGAGACAACCACGCCACGCAGATCTCACGAATTACACACCTGCGGCACGATAGGGGTCATGGTGCCAACCACGGCGGTCGGTCGTTCCTAACGGACTCTGAAAGGGAGAAGTTAATTTTAGAAAGGCCGGAGCGAGTTACGATTTTTTTTTTTTTTTAAATTTTATTAACGCTGCTTTTTTGCTCCAACTATTTCTACTGCTTAATATGGTAAATAGTTATTCTTAAATATATAATATACAATAAAAAATAGGGAAAAAAACTAGAGAAGAATTAAAGGCGTTAAAATAGGAGGCCAGAATAGCAATACTCTGAAAATTTAGGTCGGAAGAAACGAGAGGAGAGGCGACATCTGAGGGAGAAAACGAAGAGAGGGCTGAGAGGAATTAGCGGGTGGTGAACGGTGTGCATACACTCAACTCATGTATAAAAAGGGGAGATAGGGGCAAGAGGTCTTAGGACGGTAGAAGAAGCAAAGCATCTTCTTCCAACAGGGACAAATAGATAGAGGGAAGAACATAGCAATCAAGTTGTAGGAAAGGGTTATTTATTACATTAAAAAAAACTGTAGGTAGCCGCTAGATCCGTATCTAGCGACAGTAAGAGAGATGGGCGGGGTGATATTGATGCTTTTTTTGTGCTTCTCAGCTGCAGCATTTATCTCTGAGGTCCACGGTGAAGATCCGTACTTGTTCTTCACATGGAACGTCACCTACGGCACCATCTCTCCATTGGGAGTTCCTCAGCAAGCCATTCTCATAAATGGTCAATTCCCAGGACCCAACATCAACTCTACAACCAACAATAACATTGTCATCAATGTCTTCAATAACCTGGATGAGCCATTCCTATTGACATGGTACATATTTACGCTTACATATGTTCTTGTGAACTAGTAGTAGCGTATACTTTGATTTGATTAATTAACGATCCTTTTATATTTTTTTTTTCCCTTTTAAACGCATGGCAGGAGCGGCATTCAACACAGGAAAAACTCCTGGCAAGATGGAGTACTTGGAACGAATTGTCCCATTCCCCCGGGGAAGAACTACACGTACCACTTCCAAGTCAAGGACCAGATTGGGAGCTACATCTACTACCCCTCCACGGCTATGCACAGGGCAGCTGGTGGTTTTGGTGGTCTTCGAGTAAACAGTCGACTCCTCATCCCTGTCCCTTATGCTGATCCCGAAGATGACTATACTGTCCTCATTGGCGATTGGTATACCAAGAGCCACACCATGCTCAAGAAGTTCTTGGACAGCGGTCGCTCCTTGGGAAGGCCAGACGGTGTCCTCATCAATGGTAAAGTCGCCAAGGGTAATGGCAAGGATAAGCCTCTCTTCACCATGAAGCCTGGCAAAACGTACAAGTATAGGATCTGCAACGTTGGACTGAAGAACTCCCTCAACTTCAGGATCCAAGGGCACAGGATGAAACTTGTGGAGATGGAGGGTTCCAACACCGTCAAAACGTGTACGAGTCCCTGGATGTGCATGTTGGCCAGTGCTTTGCGGTCCTTGTTACTGCCGACCAAGCCCCTAAGGATACTTCATGGTCGCATCCACCCGATTTACAAAGAACGTGCTCACTGCCACAGGCATCATTCGCTACACCAATGGCAAGGGAGCGCTGCCTCACCTAAGCTTCCTTCCGCCCCTGTTGGTTGGGCTTGGTCCCTGAACCAGTTCCGCACCTTCCGTTGGAATCTCACTGCCAGTGCTGCGAGGCCAAATCCTCAAGGCTCCTACCATTATGGTGCTATTAACATCACGCGCACTATCAAGTTAGTGAACACTGCTAGCAGGGCCGGTGGGAAGCTTCGGTACGGCACTCAATGGCGTCTCCCATATCAACCCACCCACCCCGCTGAAGCTTGCGGAGTATTATAATGTTGCGAACAAGATCTTCAAGTACGACGTGATCGGGGACGAACCACCAGCTAAGATCACAGGTGTCACTATGCAGCCGAACGTCCTCAACATGACATTCCGTAACTTCGTGGAGATAATTTTTGAGAACCACGAGAAAAGCGTCCAGTCGTATCACTTGGATGGATATTCATTCTTCACCGTCGCGTAAGTTTGGTCCACCTCTGGAAGAATTACTTCGAACATTATATGAATTAATTTCATCAACTAATGATCAATTAATGCACCGATTAACACTGAAATTATATTGCCTACAGCATTGAGCCAGGCAGATGGACCCCTGAGAAAAGAAGGAACTACAATCTTCTCGACGCCGTTAGCAGGCACACCATCCAGGTTTTCCCCAAGTCCTGGGCTGCCATCCTTTTGACGTTCGACAACGCTGGCATGTGGAACATCAGGTCTGAGATTTGGGAGAGGACATACCTGGGCCAACAGCTCTACGCCAGTGTCGCGTCCCCGGTGCGCTCCCTCAGGGACGAGTACAATATCCCTGACAATGCCGCGCTCTGTGGCGTCGTCACGAACTTGCCCAAGCCTCCGCCATACACTATCTGAGCCGTCTTCGCAAAAGGGAAGTAATTATATCTGGTAGCAGTTAATAACGGTGACGAGGTACTCCCAGAGCGGCTGCCCATCTCACTGCGCCTCATCAGCTTACATATGAAAACCCTTTCCTCATTTGTATTGCTACTAAACTTTTGTCTACTATTCTATTCTGTCCCTAGCTACCTCCTCCCTAAATAATATACGTAGAAATTTAATTCAATTGAATTCATACATCATCATTGTGACTCGTTCTTTCATATTTTGAATCGAATCTGTCTGTCTCTCCCTTCCGTTTTATTTATTTTTTTTATTCATTTTAACTTGCATTATTTGTCATGGACGTCACTACTAACCCCATTCAACCAATTCCCATCCATCCCCTCAGATCACCCCCGCCGCCCCCTGCAATTCAAATAAAGAAAAAAAAGGGAAATTATACATCAAATAAACATTATTATATTGAAAAGTGCCATCTCAAAGCGTTAATAACATTAATAACTAGCTGCTCGTTATAATCTTCAATAGGCAAAAAAAAGGCACTTGTCACCACCACTTTAAGGGTGTAATTCTTCTGAGCCTCTCCCTTTTAATTGGCAAGTTATTTATGGGTCAAAGGATGAATAGATACCTTAGCAAAAAGGGAGCTGTTAGGCATATTATTGAACTTTTAAAGGAAAATATTTCAGTAAAATTTTCCGTGGGCTGTATACCGTTAAATAATATATAAAATATTAATTGTCTATTCCATTACATAAAATGTATGAAGAACATGATTATAGTAAAAAGATTGATTAGTCTAATTCATAAAAAAATAACCATCGTTTACAATATTTTCATTTTAGAAGTTAGTTATAAAGCGTCAATAGATAATATTTTAATTAAAAAATAAATAAATAAGTTTTAATTAATATAAGAAATTAAATAAAATTAGATTAAGTAAAATGTCAATATAAAATTAGTCATGATATAATATGAATTTAGATCCACAATTGTTTAGAGAGATTATTAAGAATGATCTCAGACATATTCATTTTAGAGTTGTTTTTGTCTGTCTAGTATATAAATGGATAAAGATTTCTACAAATAATTGGCAATCATAATTATTCAAACTAAAGACTGCAATTTTTATTTGGAAAAGCTGTAATTGTATTAATAATTAAAAGGATCGTACATATGGTTGTTGCAATCCGACAATGTCATTAAGGTCTTACAAAAACAAACCAGTTCCAATCCTAAAGACCACTAAGGAATTCACCTTGTAGGGAGTAGCAGTACCTGTTATATACTCCTTAAACTATGGAAAAAAAAACAACACAAAGATAATTGTTAAAGGCCAATAGCAGGACTAGCAACTAAGTGAGCTTAACTAGATCAAAGTGGTTTCCTTTGATCAAGTTTACAAGCGTTCCACACATGGAAAGAAGAAGAAGAAAGAAGATTAGCTATCAATTAATGTGTTAACTATCATTCTAATTTAAATTATTTTGGAGTCAATTTTGCAATATCAATCATTCTATTTTTAAGTTATTGTGGAGGTAGTTTTACATTATATACATGTCCAAAATAGCTAGAGCCTGTTGCTTTTAATAAAAGGCAGGTGTTTGTCAATAAGAGTTAGTTATATCAGTTATGCGTGTACTCTAGTTTAAAAAAGGAGTTCTGATGAGGAACAAAGCAGGCCTTATTTCTAATTAAATTTCCAATTCTAAGATCGAAAAGTTCTTTTTAACGAGTTTTTAATTTTTTATTTTCAAAATAGGACTAAAAGGTAGGAAAACTCATAAACATAACTTGCAAGCTAAGTTGCCTTTAGATTTTAGATTGTAGGATCCCATTACTAAATCATAGTCAAAGGCCTATAACAGCTTGGTATCAGAGTAAGGGGTTATGGGAGGCTCTCGTACTCTTCAGCAACAATTTGAAGCCTTCATGACTATATATCAAGAAGATCGACCATGAGATAAGGCCGAAAGAGAAAAGGACAATGTTGCCAATTAGGCGAGGCAGAATGACGTTACAACCCAATTAGAAGAACTTTTTCGTGACCTAGTTGCAAACCGATTAGAAGGTAAGGGAACAAGAAATAGGAATAACAATCGTGGCTGTAAAGAGCAAAAGGTGGGATTGGAAAACTTGGATGGAGGAAACTTTGTGCCAAAATACTCAAATCTCGACTTTCCTCGTTATGATGGCTCTTATAATCCCCTAAGATGGTTAAGCCGCTACGAACACTTCTTTTGTCACCAGCAAACATTATAGTGGAAAAGGTGGGTTAGTATCCTTCTACTTGGAAGGAGACACTTAACTGTGGTTCTTCAAGTTGGAGAAGATCCGGCTACAATTGTCTTAGGAAGATTTCAAAGCCAACTGCAACCCATGTTTTGGCAGCCAATCATAAGCAACAAACTAGGAGAGCTATCTAAGCTTCGTCACATAAGCATAGTGGAGGATTACCAACGATGCTTTGAACAACTCGCAGAACATGCCAACAGTTTGACCCAATAACAAAAAGTTGAAATTTTCATCAGTGGGTTAAAAGAGGCAATAACATAGAGGTTGAGCTACAACATCCTTAAGATTTATCCAATACTATAAGCTTAGTTTGGTTGTATGAATGCCAAGGGCATAGACATCGAAACAATCAAGTGGTCCACGAAGGAGCACAACAAATGGTGCACCATGAACATCTTTTGTGAGGCGACTAAGTAAGGCGGAGATGAAGGAAATGAAGGTGAAGGGGTTTTGTCACAATTGTGATCAGCCTTACATGATAGAGCATCATTGTAAAAGACTTTTTAGGTTAGAGGGAATTGATGACTTGCAACTTGAACTAGAACTTCTAGTAGAAAAAACAAAGGAGTCTAAAATATCAATTCATACTATAACAGGAATGCAAAAATCATAGACGATGCAAGTGAAGGGATTTGCTGACGAAAAGCCCTTATTGATCTTGATTGATTATGGAAACACATACAACTTTATGGATAAGGCCTTGGTGGATCTCATGAAAATGCCAATTGAATCAAATGCTAAATTACAAGTAAGAGGTCTTTAAACTTTTTGCTTTGATTTATTTTTTACTGCCTTTCTATGGGTTTGGTGTAGTGCTAAGGATGAATTGACTAAGGACACTTGGTCCTATATATTGGGACTTTACGACCATAAAGATGCAATTTTGGTGGCAAAATTGGAGGGTAAAGCTATATGGAATTAAGAACTCCAATTCACTTACAACGTTTTTTTCAACCACACTAGTTGAGGTGGATAGGGAATTAGAGCTCAAAAGAATCTTTATAGAATTCCAAGACTTCTTTAAAGCACTAGAAGGGCTGCCTCTTTCTCGTTAATATGATCATCGAATTATTCTTGAACCGGGAGTAAAGCTCGTATCAATCTTTCTTTATCGTTATCATCATGGGCAAAAGGATGAGATCAAAAAATAAGGTGAAAAGATGCTAAAAAGGGGAATTATCTGCCCGAGTCAATCCCCTTCTCTTATCCAATTCTTTTAGTTAAAAGGTAGATAATTCTTAGATATTTTATGTCGATTATCGCGCCTATAATGCCTAGACTATCAAAGATAAATTTTCAATTCTAGTAAATCGATGAACTACTAGAAAAATTACATAGGGCTCATTATTTCACAAATTTAAATTTATGCTTTGGGTATCACCAAGTCAAGAAGCGTGAGACAAATAAAGAAAAGATAGCATTTCGCATTCACCATGGTCACTTTGAATTTCTAGTCATGCCTTTTGGCCTCACTAACACTCTTTCCACCTTCCAAGTCCTCGTGAATGATGTATTCAATCAATTCCTATGCAAGATCATCTTAGTATTCTTCAATGACATTCTGATTATAGTCGTACCTGGGCAAAACATATCCAACATCTTTAAATTGTGTTCACCTTATTAAGATAGCATTGCTTGTTCTTAAAACACTCTAACTGTATGCTTGCACAAACTCAGGTCTTTACTTAAGGCACTTAATTTCATTTTGTGGAGTGGAAGCAGACCCTCAAAATGTGGTAGTAATGCTTCAATGGCCATAACCAAATAATTACGAGGCTTCTTTGGTCTCATAGGGTAATATAAAAAATTTGTTAAAAGTTATGGAGAAATTGTTGGCTCATTAACAACTATGTTACGAAAGAATTCCTTTGTTTGGACTTAAGACTAGTTGGCTACTTTTGAAGCATTAAAATTGGCCATGACCAAAACACTAGTTTTAGCCTTTCTAGATTTTGAAAAGATCTTTGTAATAGAGTGTGATGCCTCAGATTATGGAATAGGAGTTGTCCTATAGCAGGAAGGTCAACCGTTTGCTTTTTTTCGTCGTACACTAGCCAAACATGACCAACATCTACTTGCATATGAGAAAGAATTGATTGGCTTAGATAAAGACGTGCACCATTGGAGGTCCAACTTGTGGGGATGACCTTTCCTAAAACGAACAGACCCTTACAACCTTTATTTCCTCTGGACACAACCCATATTACCTCTCCATAACAACACTAGGTTAGCAAGCTAATGGGTTTTGACTTCATAGTAGAATATGAAGCTGAGCAAGAAAATGTGGTTGTTGATGCACTATCTTATAGATATGAAGATGTGGGAATCCTAACATCAATCTCAATGCCTCAAAATTAGGATTTTTTGATGCAATCTAGGTAGAAGTTTCAAACTGACAAGAGTTACAACAACTTGTGGGACGTATCACCATATGTAAAAAGGGCAATCATTGGACATATTGTGACAGGATAATCTTTTTCTAGAGCAAGGTTTATTTGCCAACTTCTTTTTCTTTTTTCCAAACAATAATTTTAGTTATTTATGGTCAATGCTGAAGGGTACCAAAAAACTCTTCAACAAGTTTCAACATATTTTCACCAGATAGGAATGAAGCGCTAAGCTCAAGACATGGTAAAAACTTGTGAAATTTGCGAAAGGAATAAGTTAGACCATTTATAACATAGAAGGCTATTGCAACCTCTCCCAATTCCTACACAAGTATGGTTAGATATTTCCATGGATTTCATAAATGGACTTTCCCCTTCAAATGGAAAGACTATCTTATTGGTAGTGGCAAATTGTTTCTCAAAATATGTATATTTCCTACCTCTAGCTTACCCTTATTCAACTGACATAGTGCCTCGACTCTTTTTCAACCATATTTTTAAATTACATGGGCTGTTTGAAACCATTGTTAGTGACTGATATGTCACTTTCAC